GCTGGGGAGATCTGCTTGGCCTGCCGAGCTCCCTGGCCAGGTTTCTTTGGCCTTAAGTAGTAGGTATATCTTAGTGCCCTGCTACACAGCACCATCATAAACTTACAATGTAAGTCGCCATCCTCTCTTAGTGGCAGCCTATACAGGCAACCCCCACTTAGCGCTCTTAATTGGTTCCTGAAAAAACGAGCATTAAGCAAAACCGAAAGTATTTGATGACCCAAGATGGCAACTGCAATTCTATTTAATGACCCAAGATGGTGACTGTGAGCACTAAGTGAAATCAGGTATCAATTTAAAATAAGTATTATAGTGAAATAGTGCTAAGCCAAACGGCATTAAGCAGGGGTTGCCTGTACCGATTCTCAACCAGGGTGAAACAGAATTCCCAAGATAAACCCAAAGATTTCAAATAAAAATCCATAGGTGTAGTCTTTCTGAGTTCTTTGCAACGGAAAAATAGCTCTATTATTATTCTGTGGTCAAAATAAATACATAACTAAAAGTCTGAAAACTAAGGGCTAGCATTTTCTAAGGAGTCCCTCAAGTCCATCCAGGGATGCCTCAAGTCTGGCCTACAGAACCACTGGCCTACATGGATTTAAGTCTTTCATAGCCACCAAAGGTTAGAACCTTCTTTCATTCAAACACCGGAAACTCATGCTTTTAAACCAAGAAGCCCAGGGTTCATTCTCTCCAGGTGATATGATCTGGGGTGTTATCAAAACGCTATTCTGTGATCCTGACAATATGATAGAACCCTGTGTCCTTCTTGTACCATTACATATGGAAAACCAAACATGTCAGGCATAGACTGATTAAAATGCACAATACAGACTGCCTGCTGGTATAGTTTGCATTTGCAAATTACAGGGAAAATTCTGGAAATTAACATCTAAGCCTTTGTGAGCCTCTCTGCAAGTCCCACTAAATACTGAAGGTAGTATCCAATGATGGCAAAAACACCCAGCTTATTGGGTGTCCCAGTGAATTTGGATATAAACCTAATTATACATCACTTCCAGAGTGGATTTAAAAAGATTTTTTTTTAATATATACATTTTACTTAATTTTTATATGCATACATGCATTTCCTTCTTTTCTTCACATTTTTTTTTTAAATAGTTCTTGACTATTAAAGTGGATGTTCTACAGCCCTGATCACAAATTTTCCCCTGAAGCAATTTTCAACAGAAAATGTCCTTTTGACAAAATAGGTTTTTCTGAACATTTACATCATCATAGAGAGTTATAAGCAATGGACAGCTTTCAAAAGTGACAATTTAATTTTCTAATTAAAAGCCAAAATGTTAAAAAAGAAAAGTAATCCACTCTGGTTTCTCAACAAATCATTTTGCACCATTAATAATGCATACCTAACTCCATCTCCTTTTGAATATGCCTACAGTAGATCATTTTAGCATCTTCTAGGTCTCTGTCAAACATAGTAATGAGCAAAGGATATTTATCGGCAGCATCAGCAGCTATCAGTGGACGTTCCAGAAGGCTTCCAAACATATCCAGCAACTAGGGACAGAAATAAATAGAAAAGCAACAAAAAAAATCATCATTATACTGTACCACCTTCTCCATCAGGCCCTGGTCTCTATGAACTTCTTCCTTAGAAAGTCTTAATGCCATGAACAATAAGGGATGGCTTGGAAAAAAATTAAATCTGTATGTAATAAAGTGCTTCTCCAGAAGCAACTGGGCACACCCCCTCGGGGGGAGGGGAGGGGAGGGGAAAAGGGCAGTACATGGCTACCTACTCTGGTCTCCTAGTTTGGCCCCCTTTTTCTTTCGCTCTCTCCCACCTGCCACAGCTTAGTATTAATTAAGATGTTCTTTGAGAAGCTGTCTTTAAGGAATCTAAGTCTAGACTGCAGGCACCTTGTCTCCCTATCTTGTGCCAAGCCCCAAATCAGGCAGTGCTGTGTGAGACTTTGCCCCCACTTTCTTTCTCCTGCCCCGCCCCCTTTGCCAGTAGGTGGATTACCAGGCCTGCATGGCTTCAGTCCATCTCAGTCTTCCTCTTTTTTGTCCAGGCTCTGGCCAGTCTAAGTTCTGGCCCCCTTCCCTGGTCTCTCACCCATCAAGGTAAGCCCAGAAAAGAAAAACAGGATGAACCCCTCAGTGTGCTGGGCCCTCTGCTCTACAGGCTCTTTGCCTCCCCTCACAGCCAAGTCCACTGGGTGTTCCTATTGTCATGAGCAGAAAAACACAACAAAAAAGAACAGCAAGCAGGCCCGCACTGTGTTTTTAAGACTGTCTGCAGTCCTCGGGGTATCCTGCTTCCCTGGGTCCCTCTGGTCTCACCACAACCAGTTCTTAAGTCTGTTTGGACACACCGAGTGCCTCACCCCCCTGGGGTGCTCTTCTAGGGTGAACATAAAACTGCCTTCGAATATTTGAATCCCGTTCTGCGGACCTTTCAAGGCATTACAACAGGTGGAAAAGGAAAGGGGGAAAATGGAAGTTCTCAGTACTTCCCAGGCACTTGCTTCTTCGTTCTGCAAGTGCCTCCTTTTAGGCATCAGATATCCCAGGCAGTGGAGTTTCCA